TATGTTGATTCCATTTTTTTATCAAATATATTATCAGTGTATACTATATTTTCCACATTTTATCATATTCTAATGCCCTACGCCACTGCCAAAACTGACCGTAGACTCCTTCCTGTTAGTTTTATATTCAAAGGGTGCACGTCCCTCTCTCATACATACAAAACCTTACCACTTCACGAGAATAAAATATCTCCTTTCACTAAGACTCAGGCCAACTGACAACGCCGCGGGGAGTCAAAAGGCACAAAGGCAGGTATTTGCCTTTTTCCTTTGTTGAAATATCGAAATACCATATTGTACTGATCCTGACCGGCATCGTAGGCCAGCCTTGTTATTTCAAATCACATGTTATTTTAAATATCGGTCACAGGTACCGACTGTTCCATATCGATATCTGTTCCAAAATACCTGTGACAAGTATTTCGTGCCATCCCTAGTTACGTGCATATATATATAGGCCTTGTTCTATGCGTGTTCATCATTTGTGTACGTGTTGCTCATATATAGTGTGCTGTAAGATTCGGAACAAAATATTGAGATAAATTAGTATCGTTCGTGGTGTGGGAAAAACCTGATTTAATAAGTTGCACTAAGTGATTTTCTTTACGGTAGAAACTACATTTAATTTGTGAACAGTTTCAAAAGCTTTCGCATCTTTTTCATGTTTTCTGACTGTGATTTCCAGTGTACTTTAATTTAGTCAGCCGGGCATAATAGTAACGTTCAAGTTGAAATCGGCGTGTTCTGCTAGTAAAAATGACTGACGAGAAAAAATCGGTGTTACAAGAGTACAAACTAGAAGCCGATAATGAGTTGCGTTTCGAAGTTGAAACCAAAGGGGAGAAGGTGTACTTAACATTGAAAAATGGTTTGGCGGAGATTTTTGGAACTGAGCTGGTCAAAGGAAAAACCTACGAGTTTACAGGCGGCTCCAAAGTAGCTGTGTTCACTTGGCATGGTTGTACATTGCAAGTTAAAGGGAAAACAGATGTAATTTATACTGCAAGGGAAACTCCTATGGTAATTTATTCAAACTGCCATGCGGCACTGGAAGAAATGCGTACTGAGAGTGAGATCGAAAACAAACGAGGACCCACCACCATGGTTGTGGGCCCTACTGATGTTGGCAAATCTACATTGTGCAAAATTTTGCTCAATTATGCGGTGAGGATGGGTCGCAGACCCATATATGTCGATTTAGATGTTGGCCAAGGAGGCATTTCAATGCCAGGAACTATTGGTAAGTATTCAAGTAATTTATAGTTAGTTTTACAGAAGAACATTTCTGTTAAGCGAGATGCAGTTAAATTATACTGTCAATTGTATTAATCACCTCGTAACAATTGCAGGTGCATCAGTAATAGAAAGACCCGCTTCTGTAGATGACGGATTTTCACAAGAAGCCCCCCTTGTGTATCATTTAGGCCACAAGACTCCGTCTGGCAATATATTACTCTATCAAAAAATTACTGAGGAACTAGCTGCGACCGTGAAAGAAAGACTGGAACCAAATAAGAAAAGTAACGTATTTGGCCAAGTGATTAAATTATTCTAAAGGCAACAATCAAATTTTAGCGAGGCATTCAGGCGTCATCATCAATACCTGTGGATGGGTGAAAGGAGACGGCTATAAGCAATTGCTGCTAGCTGGTAAGGTATTTGAGGTGGATGTTGTTTTGGTTTTGGACCAAGAGAGACTGTACAATGAACTGGTGCGAGACATGCCCAACTATATTAAAATCGTATTTCTACAAAAGAGCGGCGGTGTAAGTAGTAAATGTTTGTGACACTGAAAGTTACAAATTTAAAATTGTTCTTTTTGTGTTTCAGGTCGTAGAACTTTCTAAAAGTGTACGAAGTGAAGCAAGAGATCAAAGGATTCGAGAATACTTTTATGGAACTCCAAAAAATCAATTATATCCTCATTCTTATGATTTGAAATGGGCGGATGTGAAACTCTTCAGAATCGGTGCACCAAAGTTGCCAGCCTCATGTTTACCTCATGGTGAGAAATCGTCTTTAGTTAAATTAAAAATAAAGATTTTGTATAAAAACCCACAAATTGTTGATTTGTAGGAATGAAACCGGAAGATCATAGGACAAAACTGGTACCGTTGACTCCGCATTCAGGAATTTCGCACCATTTAGCGGCCGTAAGTTTCGCAGAAGCTGAGGACGACGTCATTTGTGCGCACGTAGCCGGATTTGTTTGCGTGTAAGTGTCCAATGTATAATAGTTAAATTCACCGGAATAATGTTCTCTAAATTTTCAGATCAAATGTGGACGAAGAAAGACAAACAATCACCCTATTGTCGCCGCAGCCGAAGCCATTACCCAATGCCGTTCTAGTTTTATCAGACCTACAATTTATGGATAGTCATTAGGTAGATGTTAACAAAAAACATATTTTTTATCACAAAAAAGCATTATGTATTTCTACTTTGTATATAGTTTTCGTTATAAATATGTCAGCACTGAATTGATAGAGTACAATTTGTATGGTTGGTTGTAATCGAATACACGTTTTTTTATCAAATTGAAAGTTTTAGTAAGCGTACCCTTCAATTACCTAGTTCTATATGTTAATCAAAATAATGTTAATTTTGTAATTGTTTATTTTTGCGATTTATGAAGTTCCGAACAGATGAACTGCTTATTTGCGCCTTAATTGAATGATCATTGGGCAGACAGTTAATCGATTTAAAATTTACTCGCAATCACATTGTTTGGAAAGCACGAATGAAACTATCCAAGACCATCCATCCATTTATATAAAAATGCTTGTTTTCTGCAATCACTTAAAAAAATATGTCCTTCATTAAGGTATTAGTCCAGTGTGAATATTCGTGTTGCAATATCTGTGATTAGCCAATCGATACCATCCAACAAGTTTTCTCCAGTAACTGCACTGCAAGACACGATCTTCCAGTGATGGCTTTTGATTTTGTCAAGATCTAAGGCCTAGAACAGGAGATGATTTAGAGAAAAATCACTAGAAATTCGTTATGTTAACTCGCCTCTTTCACCTGGCCTAGACCAAATGCACCTGGCAGGTCTTGTTTGTTTGCGAAAATTAGTAAAGTGGCTCCTGCCAGTTTCTATCAAAAATAATTACTCAGAATCATTCGAGCAGTTTGGTAGGTATAATATTTACTTCTTCCTGTAACAGTGCTTGTAGTTCGCCCATGCAGTCCTCCAATCTTCGTTTATCTGCACTATCCACCACCCAGATCAGCCCATCTGTGCATTCAAAGTAGTTTCTCCAATATGACCTTAACGATTTTTGCCCGCCAACGTCCCACATGTTAAGTTTGAAACTGAAATATTTTGGTAACAGTCATGTGTTTTGAATTTTCCTGCATATAAGTAGCTAATATTGCGAATTGCTTCGAAATAGTCAGTTCCGACTAATTACTCTCATATCCTACCCTCTATGTTCTAAAGTTTTGATGTTGAATCCTAAAGTGGGAGAAATTGTATCTATTGGCTCTCCATTGAATCTCTTTAGTATTGTAGTTTTTCCAGCATTGTCCAAGCCCCTTTAAAGTGCACTGTTAACGAAAATATGTCGTTTTTGGAAAATAAATGCAATTGTGCGATTTATTATTAAAGGATACAGTATCAGTATTCTCATTTCCTTTTCTTTTTGTTTAATCTTCTTTAACACTGTTAAAAATCCCATTTTGAATATGTTTCTATCAGAGTTTCTATTACTTGAGGTTATGTGGTGTTTATGTTTCTCCTAGATATTCTGACTGACAAATTGTGAGTCACTTCCATTGGCGTCAAAAGTTGCTAAAACTGGCTATTTTTGCGTTTTTTAATTGCTGTTTATACAGAATTTTGACGCAAACTTCACTTAAAAATTCGATAAAACTATTAACTTGCCACTATCTAATGTGCGGAATGGCCAAAAAGTACGGAAATATTATTTAGTTGTAAGTATACTAATAATTTAATAATCGCTTAATATCATTTACTGTACAAGTTTAAAAGTTTAATTGCATACCTAAATTGAAGTTTCAAACATTTTCAAATGTTTTATGCTACGCCTATACCTACTTGAAAAGCAAAGCTAAAATTAATAAATTATAACCAGAAAATCATTAAAACATTTGCGATAGATTCAAGTTTTTTGGAAATGAATCATACATTCGAAACAATCAGCTTTGCTCAATTAACGCCCCAAATAGATTAGGCAGAAGACTCACAAAATACTTAGGTATTTATGCAGGTCAAGCACATCAGTTGCATTTGACCCAACAATTATTGAAAGTTCACTGGAAAAAGTCATTCATCATCAGTTTAACTGAAAAGCTATTAGAAAAAAGCGAATCGTGAATTTTTCCTGTTTCTGCAATTTTTTCTGTATGAATTGCTGTTAGAGATGACATGGAAATTGTAACAGCTTTGTTGTCAGATAAAATTACAAATGTCTAAAAATCATCGAATTTGCGTTTGCCCCACTGAGCGAAAAAATGAACCCATCGTAATCACAATAAACACGGGCAAATGCTGCAAACATTCACCGACTTCCAATGCTCAGAAGGATAATAAGGAATCCAACGCAACAAACGACGTTTTGGCTCACACGAATGAATTAAAAGACACTGGAGTCAGTAAAAGCAAGCAAAATACTAACGGACAAAAAATAAATGAAATAAAAAACGAGAACCAAAGCACCCAATTAGAGCATCTACATTCAGAAGCTGATGGTTCCAATGATAAGAAACCAAACAACGCACATGGGGCTACAATGGATCCGGAATTGATATCCAAACTATTAAAAATTTAATTTCTCCACAATGACAAACGAACCGATGAATTGAAAAATACACCACAAACATCGTTTTATTTCCAACCACATAAGATAGGGGAGAAATTGTACCTTGAACCGGATTTTTCCACTACTTAATTTTTTACCTATTTTAAAGTTTTGAGGTAAGATTTTTTTGCCTAATTTAAAGAGTATGCAGTATATAAAAGGATCATTAAAAAAAGCGAAAACTTTTTATATTTCTAATTATAAAAAAATGGTGTGCGTCACGGGACGCTCGACATAAGTGATAACTTCATAAATTAATAGAAGCTATAAAATATTGAACTTGTTTAACGCATGATGGCAATAATAATTTTATTTTATAATTTTAATATTCTTGTTTAGGCTAATAATTTATAAATGGATCAGGAATAGGTAAAATTTAATTTCCTTTGAATGTAAAATCTTTTTTATTTGCAACATTAATTTAATATTCTTTAACGAGATGTTGTACATATTGCTCTTCTTGGGTTTGTGTAAACTCTTCTTCTTGAGTTTCTGTATTTTGTGTCGTAATTTCTTATTTGCTTTGTATAATCTTTGACGTTCAGCACTAGTTCGTGGTTGATGAAAGCCACTTTGAGTTGATCTATTACTTAATGCTCCTTTTTTAGCACGAAATCGTTTTTGGCGTTTAACATTACTTAATACTTTTCGCATTATAGCGTGTTTTTGTGACTACTCTTGTGTATGTTGTTCATGAACGTCTGCTACAACTTGTATCTGAATAGGACTAAAGAATAAATTAATTTTGGTGATTGGAAGACGTTCTATCTGTTTAAAATAGACGGTAAAACGAGGAAGAGCTATAGAGACAGGATACACTTGACACACTATA